GGCTGTGCCTTCTGAACTAAGCACTGGCCACCACTGCTGCTTCAGATATCGTGTGAACAGAGAGGAAGCCCAGTCAGCACAAAATGAGAACCATCGCTGTTATGTCATCTTTAATATTGGGTCCTTTCAAGTTTCAGCAGTGTTCAGCTCTCTCAGCCTCTCTGCCATGGCACATTAGAGAAAGCTGTAACAAGAGGCTGGAGTCACTGAAGCTAAATTTCACACTCGCTGTGTCTAACAGTGTCATGAAACAGAGAGCTGTCAAACAAGCAATCAGTCGTGGGTGTAGAGGCAATTGTATTTTCCATCATAACTGCTGACCTTCTAGTGCTGCTGGTATCTGACCTTGAAGTTTGGATAGTGCTGCTCACTGTCCTTTTAGGACTGTTCCTAAGAGGAAAAGAATTTAGGTGGCTCTTTCTGAAGAAAACCTTCTACTCCCTGAGAGAGAGGTACAAATGTAATCGTGCCCTAAAAATGATATGCAATAGAAGGGAAGATTCACAGAAAGGCACAGTACAAATGGTCTTCCACTGCTGGTCAGTGTGATTTGCAGGGGAAGAGGCCTTTGTGAAATGTGTGGGGAACATGCCCAGGTTTGAAGTTGCTGATAAGTATTTGTCACATCACAACTGAGTTCCCATTAATGCTGCCGGGAAAGAACTGCACTGAGGGAGACTGAAGTTTGTGAGCATATGCATATTCATATTGCGTGATGTATCTGCTGGGCATATCTCACACCCAGTGGTTAGTACCTTACTGCTTTGCAGCTATGTTTTCAGTAATAATCCATAGAAAGTTCTGTAAGGGCTGGTGATATGCTACAAAAACTGTGGCCTTTTTAAAGGCCCAGTTAACAGAAAACAAGTTCCGCAAAAGAGAGTAATTTCAGAATAGGAAATAAGCATGAACTTTAGCAAGTTAAATGTAAAGAATATATAGCAAGTACATAGTAAGTCCACAAAGACTTTGAGGACCAACTTTCTAAGAGCATAAGAACTAATATTAAAACCTTTTTCCAAATACACACTCTAAGGCATAAAAATGATAATTCTTTGCATTGGAAGAGTTTGGGAAGTTCTTATCCTGGAGCTTTTTCTTACGGGAGGTAGGTCCCAGGAAGAGTTTCAAATTTAGTGTCAATAGAAGGTACTTCAGAAGAAATTCATAAAATGAACTGTGGCAAATATAAGGACCAGATAATATTCTCTCAGGTAAGTCAAAGGAACTCAGACAAGAAATTGCCAGACAACCAGCTTATCACTTACAGTGGCCTTAGCACAGGAAGAATAGGTGTGGCAAGTATCAAATCCTTTTTTTCAGAAGAGAATCCGGAGGGATCTGCATAAAAAGTCATTCTAGCACCTCTATGAAGAAAACTGGTTGTGACCGCAACATGAATGAATAAGTATATGGTATAATGACGAAGAGTCAGGGTTTAGGTGTTTTTGTTGTGGGTTTTTTTTTTTTTTAGGAAAAAATAATGCTTTCTTAGTCTATCAGAGTTTTTTTTTGAAATTCAAACAAGTATGCTTTATATACTATGTTTTTTTCCATAGAACACTTTTGATGAGATTCTTTCCCGATGCTATTAACTGGAAGTTGTCATAGGACAAGAAAGAATGTCATTTCATAAATTAATTAGTGATTAGACATAAGAAAAGGAGGTAGGAACAAATTACTTCTTCCAGAATAGTTGGAGGGGTGCGTTATGAGAATCTGTGCTGGTCACTGTATTAGCAGATGATCTGAAAAAGAGGGCGCTCTGTTCTGAACAAAAGAACAGACAGATACAAACTTGCTCCAGGAGGACTGGTCTCTCTGCTGCTGATTGCTGGAAGGTAGAAAGATATACTAGTAGAAAAATTACCTCACAGATAGGTGCC